ATGGATTCAAAAAAAAAAAAAAAAAAAAAAAAAACCAAAATACGGAATCGCCGATTCACTGTTCGTACTCGCCGATTCCGTACAGTGAATCTGCGATTCACTGTACAGAATCGTCCGTTTCTCTCTAGAACCGGACGATTTTCGATTTTTTGGGCGATCCGATCCCTTTTCACGATTTCCGAGTCGAACCGGACGAGTCCGGTTCGACTCGACATTTTTTAAAACGCTGGTTGTACCCATCGATACATCCTTTTTAGGATGAACCACATAAATCTGTGTTCTCATTATTTATTTTTTATATTTTATTTGTTAAATATTAAGCCATCATATCTAAAACTTTCACACGCAACAAGTAGTATTAGAGCATAACAATCATCGTATAGTGCGATCCCTCTCTCTCTTTAAAACACCACATAATAGATTATCTCTCCTCAAAGCATCAGTGGAGAGGGCTCTCTCTCTCAAATATATGGATCGAATTGAAGGGTTCCTCTTCTCTAGAACACCATATGATCTCTCTCGTTAACGGCACATGGAGATCTCTATCACTATAGTAAACACGGTCAGTTCAACTCGGCCTGTCAAACCAGAATCGAGCACTTGTTGGTTTCGGTTTTGATCAGGTTCAATGCTCCAATCGTCGGGTATTTTAAAAAATATATATATAAAATCTCAAAAGTAGGGTATTTATTTGTAATGTATTTTTAATCTTATTTTTCATATTAGAAAGCATTTTGACTAGGACTATTTATTTTTATATATTTTTAAAAAAAAATATTTTTAAACACAAATTAATTTTTTTAAATATATTTTTTTATTAATTTTCAACTTCATTTGAATGTGGTTTTGGTTAATTATATTTTAAATATATTTTTATATTTTTTAAAATTTAAAATTTTATAATTTTTTTTTATTGCCTGATTAAACCGGTTGATCATACCAACTTACTTGTTAGTCTGACCCGTGATTGCCGGGTTTCAAAAGCGGGTTGGATTGATCGAACGATGATCTCTCTCTCTCTCTATAAGCAAGGTTAGGGATCCAATCAATCCATGTCAAAAAGAGGCCCCCCACCCCTCTCTGGACACCTCTCCTCTGCCGCTTTAGAATACTTTTCTCTCTCTACCACTACCTACGTAGTGGGCGTCGGTCCCTTACGGACGAGCCACGCAAAGGGCAGGTGGAGGGGTGGTGCCACAAAGTGATTGGTGCGCCTCTTCCCATGCATCAATGGAAAGCAACTATCTTTTCAACACCTTTTGGGTCACCAACTTAGGCCTCCTAATGCCCCGACCTAGAGAGAGAGTGATTGATTGACAGAGATAGAGAGAGAAAGTTATAAAGAGTAAGAGAGAGGTCGAGAGTCTGTGGAAATTAGAGTTTTGCTTTTAGATTGTCGCATTCTGGGATTTTATAGAGAGACAGAGAGTAGGTGTTTGATTTTGTGGAGAGCGAGAGATTAGGTGTGCGGGACTCCCTGCATTTTGTGTGATTTCGTGGAGACAGAGTACGTTTGGGGGACTCCAATAAGTGAAGAGAGAGGAGGGGTCTTTGCTCCAAAATTTTCTTGGGTTCTCCTGTAGAGAGAGAAAAAGAGCTCAATTTCTTTCTTGGGTGCTTTTTTAGAGAGAGAGAGAGCTCCATTTTCTTATTGGGTTCTCTTCTGGACAAAGATATAGAGCTCCAATTCCATATCCTTCTCTCCTAGAGAGTAAGAGTGTTCCAATTCCTCGTCGGGTTCTCTTCCGTAGAGAGAGATAGGATCAGTTCCTTCTTGGGTGCTCTTGGGTCGATCTTTTAGAGAGAGATGAACACCGTTGCTCTCTTTTCTCACAAATCGTTTCTCTCTCCTCATGATGTCTTCTATAGAAACCGTGGTTTACTGAGCAAGAAGGCCTCAATCAATGGAGGTTGCCTCATGCCTTATTTTCACACGCCTAAACATGGTTCGGTGATCAAGGCTCAAAAAGAGGGGGTTTCTCCGCATGAAGAGAAGGTGGAGAGGAGGAAGAGAGAGAAAGAAGTGTATTTGTTTGCAGCTATTGCTTCTTCCTTTGGAATCTCAACCATGGCCGCTGGTTCTGTGTACTATCGGTTTTATTGGCAAATGGAGGTGAGATCAAAGAGAGAGAGAAAGTATGTGTTTTTTTTTTATGGGGATGATTTTTGTTGTCGTTTAAGAGAAGGTTGTTTGAGAAGCAGGGTGGGGATGTTCCTGGAGCAGAGATGTTTGGGACATTTGCTCTAGCCCTTGGCGCAGCGGTCAGATTTCTCTCTCTCTCTCTCTCTCTCATGCTCCATATTTTTTTCAACCCCTTTTTACAGAGTTTGGGATAGGAAAAGTATATTCGTGAATATTTATATTTCACTTTGGTGAAAAAACGATATGATATTTGTAGTCTACACACTCATTCTCTCTCATTCTATTTGGTTTAAGCTCTCTCCCGTCTCACTATTTGGTANACTTTTTCTTTTTANATATATATATATATATATATATATATATATATATATATATATACGTACGTCCGGTACCGGTCGACGTACGTACGTAA